CTTGCATTTGACACATTTGTGTCGGATGAGCCGTTGACAGGATCTGTGAATGGAGAGACTACAATTCTCATCCGTCACCATGGCAGAGGGACTTGCAGTTCTCAATGAAGTACACGTGCATTGATTTCCCTGCACTTGTAGTCCATCCATTTTTCCTCCCATGTGTGGAGTCTCAAGAGGCAGTGACGGTTCTCAGGTGACTGTGTGAAGTCTTAGGAGACTGTGCATTGTCTCTGGAGGCTGTGCAGGGTCTTAGGAGAATTTGCCTGGGTCTCAGGAGCCTATGTGGGGTCTTTGAAGGCTTTGTGGGATCTCAGGTGGCTGTGCAGAGTCAAAGAAGGCTGTGAGGGGGTCTCAGGAGACTGTGTAGGGTCTCAGGCAGCTGTAAGGGGTGTCAGGAGACTGGGCTTGGTCTGAGATGGGCTGCGCAGAGTCTTAGGAGGCTGTGCTGGGTCTCAGGAGGCTGTCTGGGGTCTCATCTGGCTGTGTGTGGTCTTTGGAGGATGTGCGGGGTATTAGGAGGCTGTACAGAGTCTCAGGAGGCTGTGTGGGGTCTTACAAGACTGTGCGGTGGTCCCAAGAGGCTGTATGGGGTTTTAGGAGGTGATGTGGGGGTCTCAGGAGGTTGTGCAGGGTCTCAGGAGGCTGTGCAGTGTCTCACGTGGGCTGTGCAGGGTCTCAGGAGGCTTTTCAGGGTGTTAGGAGGCTGTGCGGTGTCTTAAGAGTCTGTGTGGGGTCTCAGGCCAATGTGTGGGCCATCAGGAGGCTGTGCAGGGTCTCAGGTTGTTGTGCGGGGTATTAGGAGGCTGTGTGGGGGCTCAGTAGGCTGTGCGAGGTCACAGGTGGCTGTGCTAGGTTTTTGGAGTCTGTGCGGGGTCTCAGGTGGCTTTGCGGGCTCTTAGGTGGCTGTGCTGCGTCTCAGGAGGCTGTACACGGTCTCAGGGGGCTGTGCAGGGTCTTAGAAGGCTGTGTGGGCTCTCAGAAGGTTGTGCAGGCTCTTAGGTGGCTCTGCAGGTTTTAAAGAGGCTGTGTGGGGTCTCAGGTGGCTGTAGGGGGGTCTTAGGAGGCTGTGGGGTGTCTCACCAGGGGTCATGGTTGGTCTTGCAGGTGGGTGCGGGCTGTGTGGTTTTAATGCCCATATCGGTATCAGTGCATTCCTACTTTAAATATTTTATAAAATAAAATGTGTTACACATGGTGATATGGAAGCCACATGGTACTCAAGCTGGTGAAGTACAGCCATAAACAGAGTAGTACAGCTGGAGATGCAGACAACTATACAAAGTAACATTTTCTGACAATTTGGCAGCAGTGAGAGTGAGATACAGGTAAATATTACCAGAAATATATATACTTTTTTATGTTTCTATTTTCTTCCATTTTTTTGCAGATTTTTTATGTTTACTGTTGTATAAAACTAGCGTGTATCTGGTAAAATTCTGTCTTCCTGGTTCAACAGTACATTTTGATTTTTAGTTATCTATGGCAATGACATAAATAGACATAAAACAGGACTCATAACATTCAAGATATGGTAAGTTATTTGGAGATCAGAGAGTGTGCTAAAGTAAAGATGTAGATCCTTTAAATACAGAGGGGACAGTTGCGTTGGATCGGCCACCTTATACTCAGCCTTTCTTGTGAAACGTGTTACAAAGCTTGCCTGGCATGCCTAATTGGGAGAGATCCCAGGGAGGGCTCGGACCATCCTAACATTATTTTATCATCCAGGAGGATTGATAATGCCTTGAGATCCTTGACTTGACTTGATTTTGGAAATGTTTTGACCTACTAAAATGGAAAATTAGTCAAGCATATAATCAAATAAAATGTTTTTGGTCCTTTTCCTACCTTGTCACAATAACCTTTATGGCTATATTTTCTAGTTGAGTCCCAAGCTCTGCTTCATAGAAGCCACAGTTTTCATACTGCATTGATGAGGAAAAAACGGTTCTATAATATTATCTATACAAAACACCAGTGATTCTGGATGTACAGTTGGCTATTAGGGCAAAATAAAAAATACTTACATGGCTCCATCCACTACCCTAAAATGGGATTTGTGAGCGAATGAGACCCTCTGTTCTATTGGCTCATTAAAGGGCTTTTTGGGTTCCCTTTTTTCCTTCTTACCATAACCTTCATGCTTATAATTTACCCTGTACATAGGGAAATAATTTCCCTGTGACAACAGAAAGCAAAAGATTACCAAAGTGCCAAAATTATGTATATATTCATTTTCAGGTATTTAAAGTGTAACAGGAATTAACTTTTTTGTAAACTTACATTGTTGCAGCTTGGCTTCATCTAAGTATTCCTACCTGATATCCACAGGGCCTCTGGGGATGCAGAACATTTCTGTAGTAGCCTGCACTACAGTGATAGCTTTGATCTTCCAAGTGAGGCTCGTCTACACATTGAACACAGAGGGGTTGATTTACTAACCTTATAAACACGCCACAAACAAGTATACACCTCTGTAGTGTGTTCCCTCCCAGCATGATCTATTGGTGGAATCTAGACACCTTTGTAGTGTGTACACACCCAGCAGGTATGTTGTGCAAAGCTCTGCATGAATTGCAAGGTGATGTTGTGTAAATTAGCTCTACATTGTGTTGCATTGATGAATGCAGGAATGTAAATGCATGAGCTAACCATTTTGGTCTAAACTGTGAAGCAGCATTATATATGCATCATGTGCATGATTTTTCCATATATGGCATTAGTGGAAATATGCTTTTAGAGACTTTTTGGTTGATAAATACGTTTTGCTGTGTAAAAATCACACGCACCTAGTGCGTGCGTGTGTTTAGGTTAGTAAATCACCCCCAGAGAGTCGCTTTCTTGGCACCTCTGCTATTCAGAGAATTCCTTTTTTTAATTGAATACATTGCATTTTGCGGTTGGACAAGGTTGAAGAGCGTGACCTCATCTGTACTTCCTCTCAACCTTGTGGAAGCTTAGTTTATTGGACAGGGAGGATGAGTGGGGGTATGTTTATTTAGATTGGGGTTGTTCTACATAAGGATACAGGAGCTCATTCATAGGTCCTGGAAAAAGGGAGCAAAGAGAACATTTGTAAAGTTGCAAAAAGCCAACAATAAGGTCCTAGCTTTTATTTGTTAGGAATATGAATAAGACTCTCTTACTTTAAGAATAGAAAAAGCTAGTGACCGTTATGAAGAGCAGGCCTCTTTACTAAAAAAAAAATCTTGTTAATGACTATGGACAACCGTATTACTTTTTTCCAAATTTCCATGTTCTTTTTTTTTTAACCTCATAAATATTTGTAAACCTTTCAAAGCTTACCTGCACTGATGATTTTAATCTTATATTTGTTTTACATTTCCCTACTTGTTGGCAATCACCTCATCTGTGGCACATTCATTTTAATTTGTTGTAAATGAGATGACTACCAACAAGAGTTTTAAGTAGATTACAGTTTTCTAGTAGATTGGAATGGAGTACAAAATAAAGCTCACATAAGCTGGTCATCAAATGATTACAAAACAATAATATGTAATCAAGAAAAGTTTTTTTTTATAAAAAAGAAAAAGTTAAAAATAGGATTTCAATATAATGATTATTATTCCCCAAGATCATTAAGTACATAAACTTTAGAATAAAATAGCTGACTCTCAAACCTCTTAATTTAGTTAAAAATTGTTGCTTTTGGCTTCAAACTATATCTAAAGTGACAACGTTAATTAAAGATTTTAACATTACTTTATTATTACATTTATTTTTTACACTTCAAAGTTTAGCAAAACCCTTTGGCGCTTGTTTATATTTTCTGTTATCTCATGAGACTCATTATAAACTTCATGGTGTTTGCTAATAGATAGAAATTGTAACTACTTCTTGAGATATTGGAATACAACATAGATAATTAGCAAACATCTGGCATCAGGTGCATTATTCACTTGATTAACAATTACAGCAAATTATATTACTGTTGTGTTTACAAGTTTTAGAAGCTAATTAAAGCCACATGTATCAAATCACAATGGCAGCTTCTCACTCCCCAAGGCACATTTTTGCAGAGAAGAAAAACAGCCAATTAGTGGTAGTTGTGAAAATGAAATCATGTTAACTTGTCCTTTGCTGGATACAACTGATACGATTCAAATAAACAATCATCTTTATTTATTCTTTTTGTTTAATGCCATAGAACTATTAAAAATATTTATCCCAAACAAAAAAAGAGTTTTAGCTGGAGATGGGTTTTAGAGTAGTAATAGGTTAATAGTTTGTCTGTGTCCACCTTGAGCAGAATTATGTTTACTTCCTCTCCCATTTCCATCCTGTCATATCTTAACACTCAGGACAAAAAGTGAGTCCCCTCCGGGGGGACACTGATAGCAGTAAAATGTTAAATTTTTACCTTTTCTGCGAGCATCTAAAAAAGATGCTTTTCACTCACTACTCATCTATAATTAATCAGCATTTCAAACAGATTAAAAACATTTTGAGTTTAATATCGCTTTAAGTTAGAAAGTATTGCAAACATGTACTGGTTTGTTTGGTGACCTTAAAGTCACACACTCCAAAGATGCTTGTCTCTGTAGATTATGGCGTGCAAACTGTGGTTTCAGTCTACTAAAGATCCATTAGGCATGCCATTCAATGAAAGATAAGAAATGAAAGGAGGGACCAGGCCCACTCAAGTTGGGAAGATGGTTCTCTATAAAATAAATAGGAAGTGTAGGGGAAAAAAGAAAGAAGATGAGAGGAAAGGAGAGATCAGTTGTCTTCCCTGAGCCTACATGAAAGCTGCAAAGAGAAAGTATAACTACATATTACTGGCAAAGTGACTACATTTTATGAATTTTAGTTATTCAAAACTGCGTAAAATTTTTAACTGGTTAATAAAAAAAAAATGGATTTCATAAAAAGAGCAAGGTCACATATGTTTAGCCTTTGCGATCATTCAATTTATAGTATTGATCACAAATATCATGATGCATTCATGCACTGGTTTCTACTTCTATTTTTCCATTTTATTTCAGCATTTTTTTTATACCATCTTTAAACTCATGATTTTTTAGAGTATAGATTATAGGATTTAATAATGGCACCAAGACAATGTATAAAAGGGCAAAAAATTTGTCTTGTTCTGGATAATAACTAGATGCTGGTCTCATGTATAAACATATGATGGTCCCATAAAATATACTGATACAAGTGAGATGAGAAGTACAGGTAGAAAACGCTTTATGTCTCCCATGAGAAGATTGTATCTTTAATATTGTGGAAATAATTAAAACATAGGATATTAAAGTAAGTATGAAAGTGACAAGAGTAAGAAGTGTGCCCACAATGTAATTCATCATTTCAACATCATCAGTGTTGCTGCAGGAGATTTTAAGAAGAGGTGAGAGATCACAAAAGAAATGGTTAATATCATGTGAGGCACAGAAGGAAAGCTTAGATAAAAGGGCAATGTGTCCGGTTGGATCGAGTAGGCCAATGACCCAGGCTGATGTTGCAAGACCTTTACAGAGTTTTAAGCTCATGAGAGAAACATAATGAAGAGGGCGACAAATGGCCACATAGCGGTCATATGCCATTGCAGCAAGTAATATGACCTCAGTACTGGCAAGAGAAATAAAAAAATACAGTTGAAACATACACCCCACAAATAAAATAGCCTTGTGCTGAGTGAGTAGTATCTTTAACAGGTTGGGCAGAATATTTGAGGTGTAGGCAATGTCAATGACAGATAAGTTCATCAAAAATATGTACATGGGGGAATGTAAATGAGAATTCCCAATAATAACTACAAAAATAATTATGTTCCCAAAAATAATGATAATATATAAGAGCAGAATTATCGTGAAAATTGGTAACTGTAGAGCACCACTTTCTGATAAGCCTTGGATGAAGAACTCTGTCACATTGCCTTGAGTGCCAACCTTGTTTTTGGTCATGTTCACAACTGGAAGAAAAAAAATAAAACTCAGCTTTTTCCCTTGACTTATTTTGTGATTAGTTTATGGCAACAAATAGAGTAACTAAAGTCAAGATCCACTGCCACATAAATACATATGGCATATACACAGTAATATGCCATATATATATATAAATAAATATATATATATTTATTTGTTAACCACTGATCTGAAACAAGTACACACATTATGTATTTTGACTGCACTCTAACCCAACTAGCTGCATTCAGGCAGGGCAGATATCTGCATAGACTAAGGTGAAAGGCCTGCCAGGGCCACTCACACATTATGATAATGACTGTCAGTCATTCTTTCCCATGTAAAATAAAGAATTCCAGACTGCTGTCCGGCTTACCAGACTCCTCATCAGGTCAACACTGGATATTTTCAAGATACCATAGCTAGGAACATATTTACAGTCTTTACTGCCCTAGACATATATGAGTGATTATTATTATTATTATTATTACCAGTCACACCATTAATATCCAATGGTCCACACAGCATAATTTGTGTAGTGAGCAATGACAGCTCCCCCCCACAACCAGGGAGCCCCCACTGACCCCCAGGCTAAGGTAAGGTGACATTTTTAACATATAATAACAAATTTTTTTTCCCTAAATACTCACCTGATCCGATCCACCGAAAAGCGCAGTGTCCCTCCTCTCATGCTGTCAGAATATGCATACAGAGCGTGTCGGTTACTATTTAAGTCGGCGCGCTGTGTGCAGCTTCTGAGAAGATACGCTATTAGCTTAGCGGGAGGGATGCAAAATGCGCAGCCGGCTTCATCGCTATCTTCTCAGAAGCTGCACCCAGCGTGTCGTTTTAAATAGTAACCGACACGCTCTGTATGCATATTCTGACAGCGTGAGAGACGGGAGTCTGCGCTTGTTGGTCGTTCAAGGGATCAGGTGAGTATTAAAGGGTTATTAAACCCTCCGGCTTTTTTGCATATATATAAGGCTAGCAAGCAGTAGATATATGCAAAACGTTTTTTTAAAAATAATAAAACGCTTTAACAGCGGTTTAAACTTAACCCGTCTTCGCCGCACGCTCCTGTCCGAAAATCCGAAACTGCTCGGGTGGCCGCAAAGCATCTTGGGGCAGGTGCATGCGCAGTTCGGATTTTCGTCCGGGAGACGAGGAGAGACGCAAGGTAAGTATATGGACGCGTGCACCCGCATGCAGACACCGTGGGACAGGAAGCGCCAGCAAGGACACAGGAGTCAGCGCTGGATCAGACACATGAAAAGATCAGGAAAGAAGAAGATCGGTTTAAGAGACATCAGTTAAGGTAAGTGCTGACATTAACATTGTGGGAGGGATAAAAAAAATTGACTTTAATGTCACTTTAACCACTTCCGGGCCGCAGTACATCTATAGGCGGCGGCCGGCAGAAGTGGTTAAAACAAGAACACGGCTGCTTCGGCAGCCGTGCTCTTGGTACCGCTCTTAATAGAAGGAGATTGCTGTATGACTTACAAGCAATCGCCTGCTGAGGACTACAAATCTCAGCAGTACTTTATACAGAAATGCTATTGTTATATAAAGTATTGCTGGGATGTGTAGTCCTCTATAGCCTATGCCATTCTGCATTGCTTTAAATATTAGGGATGCACTATATATCGGCCGCCAAAACATATTGGCCGGAAATAGCACTTTTGGCATAATTCTGAAAGTGCCATTTTTCTGCCGATACAGCGGCGCATCCCTGCTTTCTTTCCTCCCCGCTGGGCGCTGCTCTGTGTCCCAGCGGGGAGGAGAAAAAATGACAGCCGGCCGAGCGCTGCGGAAGGAGAGCGCTGTGTTTGTGGGGTTTTTTTTGGGGGGGGGGCCAAAAAAAAAATCTTGCACCAGGGCCCTTTGTTCCTTAGGTCCGCCACTGGCTATACAGGTTGGTCTTTGCATGTTCTTTGCACTTCAAACTGACTTATTAAATACGTTTTTGGTTTAGAAAACCTTGGTGTAGAGAATTACTTGCCTGACAATGCCCAAATGCTGAAGGAAAGTGTCTGCACTGCACATAGCAGCCTGTTACATATTTGTTTAAATGTTCTTACATGCACTACAAAAATGTGGTTTGAATATGAGAATTACTGCATATAAACTGTTATTTTTTTAGTTCATGCAAACCAGCCTTCTACTGAAATCAGAAGATCATAATTACTAGTTAAATGTCATATGTCATTTAAAGAAAACACATTTCAAATGATGTATGTGATATCTATGTTGTTTTTCATTAGTGTCCGGTGGACATTTTTAGTGTACGCATAAGGAATTAAATCCTCCATATATCAGCTGGTGTCAGGTTGCTGCTTCCAGCACAAAACCTGACTTTAAAAAGTTAAACATTTTCAATAGTGCTCCTGGTTCAAATCCTGGCCAAGACTCTACCTGCAAAGAGTTTGGATGTTCTCCCTGTGCTTGTGTGGGTTTCCTCCCATACTCCAAAGATAAGCTGGAAGGTTATTTGGCCCTTGTGTGTGTCTGCATGTGAGACAAGGACCTTGGATTGTAAGCTACTTGAGGGCAGGGACTGATATGCATGTGTGGTATGTAAATGAACCCATAACCTTTCTGACATACATTGCTCACAAACAATGATTTTATTAACCCAATAAACAAAAGATAAAGAAACACTGTAAGTATATCGTGCTTAGAAAATACATAAAATCCATCAGTCATCTTGTCTCATATCTAATATATGATTCTATATAGCTTTGTATATTAATATTCAGTTAAAAGGGCATTTATTACTACTTGAAACTTCAGTTTCATAATTACCTGTAAAATAAATGTAGTTATTTTTGCAAGCAATTGTTTTGTTATTCCATTACCATGAAATTTGCCTACTAACCATGAAATGACACCTAACTTTATAATTTGTTGCATGTCTCTGTATTTGCAATATCACAGCCGCCCAAGACAGTGCAGCAACCAAAGCATCTTATATAGAAAGACAGTGCTTTCCTTAGGGAATGTATTGTAAAAGTTAATTGTACTTCTTGTACTGTATGTGTGATCATTTTGAAATAAAATATGCCCTACAGACATAAAAACCAAGATTAGAAAGCACATGGGGAGCTGCACACATGGGAAGCATAAGGAACATTTAGCAAAGCAAAAAAAAAAAAAAGCAAAACAATACCATTTGATGTACTGTGCAACATCAAATGGTACTGATGCACACCAATCCTTTAAATTACATTGATATTGGGACATGCCATTAAGCTGTATATGGTACTATGAAACAGTACTATTTTCACAGACAGCGACATTGTATTCTGTCATCACATACTTTGGATGCGTAATTGATTTAGTAACCTTTATATTTAGCTTGGCTTAAATAAAGCAGCAAAACCCCAATCTGAATCAATTTGAAAGAAAGGCTTTATTAGGTTGTTTTGGCTGTGACACCTGATTTTTTTGTCCAGCGGCAACAGGCCTGAATCAAATGGTGTAAGAAGCCTCCACAACAACTCTAAAAGCTAAAGGAAAGTTAACTCAACAGAATGCGCCAAAACACTTCATAACTATAACCCGACATTATCTAAACCTCCTACAATCCCTGTTTCCGCAATTATTCTGAAAATATAGGATATAGGATAATATAGGATAGTATACAAGCACTTGAATAGACATTGAAAAAGGCAGCAAATAAAAAGAGACAAGGCAGACAACTTACGGTGTATTATTTAAGAGATGTTAGCTACAAAAATTGTGCAGTGGTTGAACAGTGCAGCTCTAGATAGCAGTAGGAATCAGCTGCAATCTGCAGCTGTAAAAAAAAAGCGCTACACCATAGCTGTCCCAAGTCCAGAAATCTGAGCCCCACTTTGTTCAAGCCCTTTGCACTGCAACACCTCTCCTATATATTCTAGTGAAAGTTTCCTGGGCTGAGTTGCTCCAGAGTAACAGATTTTCAGTCACAATTTATTTTTGTTCTTATGTTTTTTAATTTTGTTTAATGCATTATATTATTTATTTATGCATGTTACCATAAAGCCTCCTTAGAACAGAAGGTATTCACATGTCCCATTCCATCACATATCCAAAAAATTAAAGGATAATTCCTCATTTCAGGACAAGGGATGGGGCCACACAACAGGAAAATTGTATTTCATACTTACTGTAATTTTCCTTTCCTGTATAGCTCCATGGCAGCACACGAATGGGTTAAACCTCCCCCTAATCAGGATTGTATCTCATAAATTTGAGCGAGTCGCCCAGCTAGCTGTTCTGTAACTAGATGACCGATCGGGTGGGCCCTGTGCTGCCATGGAGCTAGACAGGAAAGGAAAATTACGGTAAGTATGAAATACAATTTACCTGCTTTCCTGTCAGCTCCATGGCAGCACACGAATGGGAAATAACTAGCTAAAACAAAGGGAGGGTACGCAAAAAATATTTTAATCATACACCCATAGCCGAAGAAATAACCGAACGGCCAAAACCGACAGTAGTCAAGGCGGCCGGATCGACACAATAATGATTCATAAATGTGTGACGAGACGACCAAGTGGCCGCCTTACAAACAGTCTCCAAGGACACTCGATTTGCTGTCGCCCAGGACCTGGGGAGACTCCTCGTAGAATGTGCCGAGATTGCAGAAGGTACTGGAAGGCGTTTAGCCTCGTAAGTCAATGTGATAGCTTTCACCACCCATGAAGCAATAAGTCTACTGGATGCCTTAGCGCCTTTCCTCGCACCTGTTGATACCACAAAAAGATGGTCAGTAGACCGTAATCCCTCGGTGGCCGAGATATACTCATGCAGAGTTCTTGCGACATCCAAACGACACATGCTAGGATCATCACTGGCCTGAAAGGTAGGAAGAACAATCTCTTGCCGCATATGGAAATCCGTGACTGCTTTAGGAACTCGGACCACCCGGT